TCCCTGGGAAACAGTATATCTAAAACCTCTTCCTTACCCGAGTTTTAACTTTTTCCTCCGACTTGTTACTGGAGCCGAAAGTTCTTGAGAAAAGCTTATTCGCTGGAGCCAGAGCCCTGAGTCCTTGGGGAATGAATACAAGAGATATTTGGTGGGAATATATCTGGCCACTAGCCTTGCCAGTTGGTTCCTTGGCCATATTCTTAAAATAGAAAAATGACAAAGTATAGCTTTGCCAGGACGACATTTGTTCTAATCCAGAGAATATGTTTTTAAGTGTTTGAAGGACTCTGCCACAGGAATCTTGGTAGCACCAGCCAAGATGTCTGAGGCCCGAGGATGGCAAACCCCGGTGACCATCCAGTGCTCATGGGGGGATTCCAGCAAAATAGAAGCTGGGATTTGGACATGCCTGGGCAGGTCTGCTGACTACAGAGGGCAAGCATGCCTGGAGTCTATTTACATAACAACTTTTGGCTGGGGCAAGATTGTGTCCTGCTGCAAATGGAAAGTGGGATGGACAAGCAGAAATGCGTCAATCTTGGGAGCTAGGTTTTGGAAAAGAAAATCTCCTTTAATAAATGAGTTCCATTAGTCAACAGGCTTCTTTCTAACCTGGCAATTGCATAGTTTATATTTGCATATTTGGTAGCATGTAAACCATCGGCTCTTTTACCCTCTTTAGTGATCTATGGCCTGATGCAGAAATTTGAACCCAGATTAAAGAACATTGATTTTCTTTATTTTACCAGCAAGAATTCAGTTGGGTGTGTGAATAAAAAGATACAAAAGCACATTTTGGGTTTTAGAAAAGTTGACAGATGATTTCCTTTTTTTATAGAATTTCATAGGAAATAATATCTCTAAGTCTATTTTTGAAAATAGTACACTTTTGCTATAATACCCAGAACTGTTAAGTTTTGTTAAATACTAACATGGACAAAATACTTTAAAAATTATATTTACCCTCCCTTCAAAAGTTATTTATGCTCCCGCTTCAGGTCTCAATTGGTATCATTTCTCATTTATTATTATTATTAGTGGGTGATAATCACACTAGTATTTTTTTCTTTAGCTACTAGGAATCGTTAGAGTAGGGGAGGAAACTTACTACACCAGGGTGGGTGCCAGCCACTGAAGTCAACACTTTACACATAGGCATCTTTGCATTCTCATGGCTTTGTTGTGAGATAAGTCCTTTCATTATCCTGATTTCAGAGACAAAGCAATGGAGACCCAGAAAGGTTAAGTGAGTTGTGTACTTCGTGTGGCCAACCGTGGGGAGATCAGCGATGCTGGGGATTTGGAGTGTTTTACTCTCATTTTTAAGAAAAGACTGATTCTCCATTTGGGAAATTCATTTTTCAGGAACTCTCTTGCAGCCAACATTGGAAATTTAAGTCAAACTACTGACTCACTGGAATTGTTCTCCAGTGCCTTTTGTCATACCAATGAGTATTTTTAGTTTTTTTTTTTTATTACATTTATTTATCTTGTTTGTGTGTGCAGTGGGAAGAGGACAACTTTTCAGGGTCAGGGCTTCTCCTCCACCAAGCTGGTTCCAGGAATCGAACTTGGATCCTTAGGCTTGGCTGCACGGTCCTGAACTTTCCCACAGGGCCAACTCACTGCCAGGAGATTTTTTAAAAATGGCTTTGTATTTCTGTTGCATGAGTAGATGTCTGTGTACCTCTCCTTTCTGGGATTTTTTTTCAATTTGGATATATTTTCAAATGTACAGGAAATTTGCCCAAAACGATAGCACTAAAATCCCTACAGCTTTTTACTGTGACTTGTCTGTTGGCAACCTGCTCCCTTTGTCTTTCAATATACTAGACGTGAAGACGAGGATAAAACACGCAACACTTTTGAAGCTGCATAAAGATTATTAGTACATTTTGCTCTTCCCCTGAGTACTTCTGTCTGCCCTGACTGTAGGACCACTCTTCACATAGCTACAGTGTAGTAATCAGTCCTAGCATAATTACTGTGGGTACAGGACTTTTCATTGGAGGACATTCTGCGTCTGGGAATTAACCCGCTGTGCCTTATAGCATTTCGCTCTTAGGTACAGTCTTGCAGGTAGATGCCTTTTAGGTGTCTTGAGAGTGATTTCAATTAAAGTAGATTTAATTTTTGTCATCTCTGAGGAGTCATATTCCATATCATTTAAAAAAAATCTAATTTTGAGTGACATTTGACAAAAATTGGGCTTTTGGCTGGTTTTTCATTGTCATTTCATATTTTGTTATTCTGAAGGATTAGGATGTATCAAACGAATATTAAAATTACTTACTAGCAACTGTTTCTCCTAATAACATTATTACTAGATAATGTTTAAGTTCCATAGTTTTGAGTCATAGTTGAAATTCCAAAAAATAATAATATTAATCTTTAAAAGGAAATTTCTAGGGCTGGGAATGTAACTACATGGTAGAGTGTTCACCCAGAGAAAAGCATCTTTCTTCCTTC